AGTGTTTGGAACAAACATTCTAAACCAAGACCTAAATATCGAATCCAAGCCGAGTCTATCAGATCGTAATCAAACAGAACGATGAACTCTCCTCTTCAAGAAACCCAATTCTGTAACACAAATTAACCGAAGTTTAAATCCAATAACCAAGAAACCTTCACCAACTGATTCGATCGTGTCACATAGCCACAAAGCTCTCCCAAGTCAAATCAAACCAATAACCCTCCTCAAAGCACGCTAACGTCCTCAACAATAACAACTTATAACTCGTTTTCACAGAATAAAATCATCACACATACACTTTTCTTTTATTGCACATTTTAAGTTACTTGTGCAACTTTCCATTATTCTTTCTATAAAAAACAACCGTTATTTGAAAAAGAAATTTTCCTGAGCTACTAAATGGAACTCGTTGATTATTATAACATTGTGGAAACATAATTAATATTATCATTTGTAATCAGAAAATATCACTAATGCATAAAAAGAAATATGAAATGCTTATATGCAAAACTAATAGTGTAAAGATTATTATTGTTACATTAAAAATATCATAAATTACAATGGTGAATATTTGATCATTTCTCCGTTATTAGCATCTGATTAAAAAATCTGACAATGGATCATTTTGCCTTTTTAGAGACAAATATCGATTTGTCATTAAGTATTATAAAAGCTAACATTGTAAATACTTGCAGGATAATTATTTCCATTACTTATTAATTCTACAAGCACCTCGCTATTATTATCCAAAAAGCTATCTCTCAAAAAATTCAAGTATTTTTAGAAAAAATCGAAATTTTCTTCTAATCATAGTGAAAGTTTCCTAATTGGAACTCTGATAAAATTTGCTAAGTTTATTTCCATCATCAGAAAGCCCAATGGAATCTGAACAGTCGTGAAATTCATATCTGAAAACTGTTGAAATTTCAATATTTGAAATACGGACATAGTCGAAAGAAATAAAAGAAACAAGGACGCATAGATTGCATAAGTCATCGATACAAACAAAAGTTAGAAATGCATTTTAAGGTGGAAGACGTCACAAAGTGTCACCCACTCATCAAATGAGAAATCAAACAAAAAATTTTAAATGCGATGTGAAGAATGGAGACAGTTAATTGCATGAAACAATCAATTCAATAAATTCTTTTCAATCCAGATCACTGTTGCATTTTTAAAAAAATACTGTTTTTTTTTTTTTTATGGTTGCGATAATGATATTAAACTGGCGATTGAAATGTCAGAAAAGCATTAACACTAATTTCCCAAGATTTCAAATCATTTCATTGAAGAAAAAAAAATTAGAGTCTTCAAAAAAGTTAATCTACAATAAGATAATATTGCCTTATGTATGATTCATACTAGTGTAAATTAAAAAAAAAATACTGTTGCAGGAAAATAATCCTATTTGGACAATTGTTGACTAAATTACGTCCCATATTGCTTCTGCTATATTCTATATTTCAACTTCAAATTAAAATAAAATTGATTTTCTTCGAACCATTAATCTGATTGCATAGATTTTTTGCACATCATTTTTGATAAACTTATTTGTTTACTAAGAAAAAAAAAAGAAAAAAAAGCGCTCGTTTTAGAAAATATACACTATGACAGCGTGTTGAAAATGCAAAATACACATAGTGCAAGTACAGGTTAATGAAATATTATTCCATTTTAAAAATTAAGTTGCACCGACAAAATGATAATTATGGAAGCAGCAATTAGAGCTAATTATTATCTACTTCACTAGTAGAAAGTTAGAAGAAAGTAGATTTTGTTGAAATTTTATTAATTTTAATTTTTAAATGCAGTTATACCAATAATGTTGGATTGAATAGATCCAAAAATATAATTTTAAAAATCAATTTATATCTTTAAAATTTTCAATATGCATTATTCACATTTGTTGACTTTAAAAATATCTATTTAATATAAAATTATCATTCTAATCAAAAATAAAAAAAAACAATTGGTGGCTTTTTTTTATTATACTGTTAAACTTGATTGAAGTGCAAGTTACATCAGAATGAGCTTTTTGAAAAGGCTTGTCGAAAGTTGTTTGCATTCATTCATAAGTAAAATCTGATTCCAAAAGAATTCATGTTTTTTTTTTTATTTCAATCAAATAGACGTTGAGAAGTAACAGTCCTGCATGTGTTGTTGAATATTTTTAAAAAAAAATCCGTTCCTGTTCATGGCGCTGTTAAAATTAGATTTTAGACATGAACAGGAAACAAATTTTATAGGCAGTGATTTATGTCTGCGAAATATGGTAAAATCTATTACTCTGCCTTTTCTCGATAAATCGAATTTTATGATTTATGGATTTATTTATTAAAGTTCTGAATTTCCATAAATTTTAAATTGATCATATAAGTAAAATCAAATTTTATTAAATACAGACTAATAATGTTGCATGTTCAATATTTAATGAATCGCAATGCAGTGATTAACTCTAATATCACAATTGTGCTGATATCTAAAGTTGAATATTGTGTTTTAATGAATCGTGAATGATTCTATTCCTTTTATCATAATTAACATTTATCGATATCTGCATTGCGCTACAGTTTATCTTTTGAGTTATGGCATTACCAGATTGCGCTGTTCACAACTTATAGTTAACATGAAATCTGATGAACTCCATTAGACTCTCGAAGTTTCGAAAATCAAGAAAATCCATATTTGAGAATAAAAAAATTCGAATTATAAATTTTTGATAAAAAATGAAAAACTGCAAAATTTCTTTCCATAGTTCCATGAATTTGAATAATAAGTTAATAAGAAGTAATTCACATCATATTGCTGAAGCGCAACAAAAGATTGATTGGACTGAAATGCAGTAAGACTTAAATATTCAATTTGGCAATAGTTTCAGTAATTTTATCAAAACTAGCCAAGCTGTTTTTACATGATTTCTGTTTTAATATAGTTATCACTATTGATTATTTTTAAATTTAACAATCTTCCACATTAGAAACCAATTGAATTCATGAAACTGAAATTTTAACATTTCAATGCTTTTTTTTATTGAACTTTTAAAAAAATTACGCAATTTCACTTTCAATTAGTATTAGAATTGCAAGATTTAGTTTAAATACTGACCTGAGTGTATTTATGTGTAGAAGCTAAAAAAGATGGGATGCTTAAATCAAAACTTGAATATTTGATGAATGTTGTGCATTTAGTCAAAACGAAGTTATCAAAAAAGAAAATTGAAATTTGGGCTGATGAATTCTGAAGCGCTACATCAGAATAAAATTCTTAACTCTGCTGGCGACTGATAACCGAAAATAAAGCAAGCATTTGCGGTGTTTTCTGAACTTTTTGCAAACTTCTTAAAAATCTAAAAGATTGGAATTTCCCTTTTGCTTTCGCAAATTAAAAATTCTTTTATATAAGATCCAACTACATAAAATTTCACATAAATTATGAAAAAAATTGGAAAAAGCTTGACAAAACTTAAATAAATTTGTTTTAATCAGGTGCTTCTCAATTGGTTGATTGAATTTTACTGAATAGATGTAAAAAGATTTTACAGACGAAAAATGAACTTTCCTTTTTTATATTGAATAATGTGGTGCTTCCTGAATGGAATATTCTAAATGTTTTCGAATAGCAGTTAGCACGAAATTGATGATTTGAAAGAAATAGTTTAACTTATCAACAACAATTTTTCAAGAAATATTTTGGCAATCAAACAAATGACTGATTTAGCTCTATTCAACTTGTGGACCACGAAATTTCCCACATTCCTGTCGCCTTTTTTTTTTATTATAAGAAATTCGCAAAAGAATGCAAATTCAAGCATCAAAAATTTCAACCGTTTGAAACATCAGTGTTATTCAGTTTATACCTGCTAACTTTTTTTGCGGTATCATTTCCTTACTGTCGCTATGGATAGAAAATCTACTACTGCTCTAAAACGTTAAATCAGTTCAATACTTAGGACTATTATATCAGGCGCTGCAGATTGCAAAGGCTAAAGAATTCAATAAGTACAAAAAAAAAGCTATGATTTTTTGGAATTTGTGCCAATAGCTGGTTCAATGTTTTCATGAATCGCTGAATTTCTTTCGTGATAATAACTCTAATTACAAGGGTCAATGTCATTTTATATAAATTCAGTTATTTTTAGCAAACAGTTTGAAAATTTTTTTTCCTGTAAGATTTGTATCGGTGTAATTTTTAGGCACCAATAATTTGAACTATTTATTGGCCATATTTCTCACTTATTTTATGATTTTCAACATTGTTAATCAATGAAAAGCATGACGTTGCTTATAATTTTGATATTTGTTATTTTAATAATGAGCCAATATTTCAAAGGAGGACCAATACTTCAAGTTATTTAGCATCTCCCATCAATAATTTACAACTTTCTCTTAAAATCTTTTAATTTTTCAAAATCTAATCAGACATAATGACTGCTCAAATTGTTATGTAATAAGTGGATTAATGGGAAGTGTTTTTAATAATTGTCGTAAAGTTCTTTTGGAAAATCCAATTACGGTTCTGCTCAGATGTATTGTTATTGCATAACTAAATGTTAATAATTGTTTTAAAGAAAAAATCAAATTAGCTAGTTATTTTCATATTTGCAAAAATAAATTCTGCATAATTTAATGGGATTCGTCCGGTATCACTCATAAAAAATGCAATTAAACAAATAGATATATATATATATAGAATTATTATCCACAGTTATCTATGCTTTTATCCTCTCTTTCTTGTTATCATTTGACAAAATTCTGAAATACACATCACATATAATTTGGTGAAATTTTTCCTGAAGAAATATTTTTGAAAATTTTTTGAGACTCTTTAGTAAATAAATTAATATTTGGAGAAATCCAAAAAAAAAATGAAATGATTCCAAATGTTTTCAATTTAAGAGGAAAAAAAAGTCGTTACCATCAAAATTAATTCTTCCATCTTTGTTAATATCCACTTGATTGTAAATAGCTTTGATATCATTATCAGTAAGATTATGTCCCATTCGTTGGAACGCAGTGCGTAACTCCGATCGAGTGATACATCCATCACCGTCTACGTCTAATTCTTCGAAAACAGCTTTCAAGGATAATGAGAGCGGATTTGCATGAGCTATCGATAGAAATTCTATAATTTTTGTATGAGATACTGAGCCCATACTTATACAAAAAATGTTAATTTTAGAGTTTATAAGAACTATAATTAATTTGTTATACCTAATGCCTCCTTGAATAATTGCATACACCTTAAATTATACTATTTAATAAAACGAACATTTAATAGCTGAATAAATAAATAAAAAATACCATCAAAATCAATATTGCCATCTTTATCCTTGTCCGCGGCATTAAACATTGCATTCAGCTCATCATCTGTTGGTCGTTGGCCCATTTTGACCATCACCGCATTCAATTCATCTTTTTGTATGTATCCGTCACCATTCAAATCAAATTCTTTAAAAATTCCTCGCAAATCTTCTTCTTTTAACTCACCATTACTTGCATTCTAGAAAAAAAATCAAGATATCACCAGGATGGGCAGTGATTTTTTCTCTCGTAAAATATATGATAATATCAATATCGCATATTATTTTAATTAAATTAAAAAAAGAAAAAACTAAAGTTGACAATTGTTGAAGTAGAATACATTTTCAACAGGCATATTATAAAGCATAAATAC